GTTTGAAAAACCCACCAGGCGCTTGGGGAAGATGTTTCGCGCTGGGCAAGGTTCTGGCGGAGAGAGCATTACTGGCACAAGCAGCCCCGCTGACCTATGGGGGCTCTCCTCACCTGCCACCTTAGTCCATAATGTCTTCCTCATATTATTAGCTTTAATTCTGACTTAGACTTGTTAACAATGACAAAACCCCAAAAAGCTACGTGCAAAAGCAAATGGCATTCCCTATTTCAAATGACCGCGTTGCCCTCCCTATTCCTCCACAGTACACGCAGATTTGCTGGTTTCATGCAGGCTTCTGTAGGCGAGTGAAAGCAGCCATGCCCCAGGCTACGGTCGGGTAAATTACCGAGCACGGATTGGCAGACAGACCCTGATTACAGCTGTTCTACAGACAGGAAGAGATAAAAAAACAAGAAAAAATGCTTAAAATTAGTTTAAGATGTTTTGAGGTTATTTTATGTTTGACTGACCCGATTAAGAAGGAAATCGGTTATATAAAGTCTTACTGTGCACTGCCATCATCATCAGCCATGGTCAATACACTGTTGGATGAACACCTCTCCAAGCTGTCGCCATTTCTCATGGAACTGTGATGCAGAATCAGAATATTTCTTTTCTACCGGAGGAATACGATGAGCTACAGACCTCTTCTTCAAAGGTTTCTAGTCGGGGCCGGTCATAAAGTTACAGCAACAAACAATAAAAAACCGACAGGAGGGCAATGAATAGGAAAGGTAAAGGCCACTGAGCTGTTAGCTTCTTTTTGAGAAGCGACCTGGCCACAAATGACGGCTCAATGAAGTGGCTTATCGCCCCTCGGATGTTTCACCTCCCTTGGTCGCCACTCCGCTGGTGTTGTCGCCCACTGGCCATCATTTCTACGAGTGACACGTCCTGCTCGAACAGCCTTACTTTGCTTCACAGTCAAAGTTATATATTTGACCTGTGTGTGTGGCCTTTAATCCACGCGGTCCTCTCGTACCTCTGAGTGTAATCCCAACGACGCATCTCTCCATGTTTCTTTTTGTTAACTTTTGTTCAATCCACCATGTGGAAATGTCTGATCTGTGCTACAGCAGTATGTATCAGTCCCTCCAGAAAAACGCGGAGTTTTTTGGTGATTGTTGCGGGCAAAAATCGTTGATTGTGCGGCACGTTTTCTTAAAAAATGCGATGGAATATGCGGGATATTTATGCAATTTTATGCGATTAAATTGCGAGAACTTGCAAAAATTGCGGGAACTTGAAAAAACTGCGGTTTGATGAAAAAGAGAAAAAAAAGTGATTCCCCCAACACCCTATTCACTAGGCTACTACTTTAATGTAAAGAGTCATTTCTTATTACTTCCTATGATAAGCAAGCATACTACATCACAGAAAGTGCTGGGAATATTTAAGTTCTCATCTTGTTTTATTTCAGACCTTAACAAACAGATGGCTCAAACTTACAAAACATTGAGTCGAACAAGTTCTGTAGCTTTACAAAATGAATATGCTACAACTTCTGTAAAAATGAATAAATAAAATATTAAAAAATAAAATGTGTGCTTCCTGTTTTACAGAGGTAGCTATACAAAACAGACATCTTCTGTTAAATTTCGATTTAAAGCTTTCGTGACTGCAGGGATTCATCTTCTTGGTTCTTTCGGTAAAGTCACGTAGAAGGGAAGTAATAAAATAATAAAAATAAAACATAATAAAACAATTCTCACGACGTTTCGGCCACAACGCAAGCAGCCGTCCTCAGGTGAAAACCAGGTCCGTCGAGGCGACAGAGTCTGAATGAAACAGCACACGAGCTTGGAGCATATATATAAGCTGGGCGCATTGACAAAGGAATTTACATATCAAAAGGAATTTAGCATATTTATGGGAAATGCAGGAATGTGATTAGTCCTGCATATGCATGTGCATTATGCAGGATTAACAGCATCAAAGGGAGCTGCAGTTACTGCTGCTGCTGAAATTACTGCTGCTGCTGCAGTTTCTGCTGCTGCTGCAGTTGCTGCTGCTGCTGCAGTTGCTGCTGCTGCTGCACTTGCTGCTGCTGCTGCACTTGCTGCTGCTGCAGTTGCTGCCTTATCCATTTTAATATAACACTATGTATTATTCTACCCACCCTAATGTGTATCACACTGCTATATGTTTACTATACAATTACGACACCATACATTACTCTGCACACTGCACCATGCCAGTGAGTGGAACGCGGTCTGAAAGTCACCGTAAACGTGAACACAATCAGTTAAGATCCGAAATGGTTTATTACGTCCTTCCAATGATTGCTAAGCCAGAATCCATCTTCTCGGTTGAAATTGTCTCTGTGTTTGTATATGTGGATCGCCTCATGAACGAATCTCTCATGATAGCCAGATGGCTTGCAGAGAACCTCTGTCTTGGAGAAGTCAATGTCATGTGAGCCCACTGAATTGTAACAGTGATCTGCCACGGCTGAGGTGTTTGTCCTACCGTGTTTCAGGTCTGCCTTATGTTCACGGATGCGGTCCGAGACATGTCGTTTGGTTTCTCCAATGTAACTGCTACCACAGAGGAAACTTAGTTTGTAGACGCCAGGGTACTGTATGTCTGGAACCACATCTTTTACAGACGGGACCAGATCACGGATTTTATGTATTGTGTTGAATCGGACCTGGATCTTGTGTTTAATCAAGATTTTGGAGATTTTTTTTGTGACCCCAGCAATGTAGGGTAAGGTGATGGTCTTGAAAGGCTCCTGAACAGGATCCTTCTTGATGGTTGGAGTGATGGCTTTGCGGATTGTGTAGTCGGAGTAACCATTAGCCTTAAGAGCTTGGCGTACGTGTTTGAGTTCACTGGAAATGTGTTCATGGTCGGAGATGCATTGGGCTCTATGATATAGAGTCTTGATGAGGGAATTCTTCTGGGATGGATGGTGGTGGGAATCCGGTTTTAGATAAGCATCCGTGTGGGTGGCTTTCCTGTAGACAGAGTGGCTCATTGAACCATCAGGTCTCCTTTTGATTAGGACATCCAAAAAGGGTAGCTTGCCATCATTTTCGACTTCCATGGTGAATCTGATGGCTGGGTGTATGGAATTGATGTGGTCGAGAAATTGGTAGCTTGCCACATGGCCGGCCTGCTCTAGACCAATTTCTCGACCACATCAATTCCATACACCCAGCCATCAGATTCACCATGGAATTCGAAAATGATGGCAAGCTACCCTTTTTGGATGTCCTAATCAAAAGGAGACCTGATGGTTCAATGAGCCACTCTGTCTACAGGAAAGCCACCCACACGGATGCTTATCTAAAACCGGATTCCCACCACCATCCATCCCAGAAGAATTCCCTCATCAAGACTCTATATCATAGAGCCCAATGCATCTCCGACCATGAACACATTTCCAGTGAACTCAAACACGTACGCCAAGCTCTTAAGGCTAATGGTTACTCCGACTACACAATCCGCAAAGCCATCACTCCAACCATCAAGAAGGATCCTGTTCAGGAGCCTTTCAAGACCATCACCTTACCCTACATTGCTGGGGTCACAAAAAAAATCTCCAAAATCTTGATTAAACACAAGATCCAGGTCCGATTCAACACAATACATAAAATCCGTGATCTGGTCCCGTCTGTAAAAGATGTGGTTCCAGACATACAGTACCCTGGCGTCTACAAACTAAGTTGCCTCTGTGGTAGCAGTTACATTGGAGAAACCAAACGACATGTCTCGGACCGCATCCGTGAACATAAGGCAGACCTGAAACACGGTAGGACAAACACCTCAGCCGTGGCAGATCACTGTTACAATTCAGTGGGCTCACATGACATTGACTTCTCCAAGACAGAGGTTCTCTGCAAGCCATCTGGCTATCATGAGAGATTCGTTCATGAGGCGATCCACATATACAAACACAGAGACAATTTCAACCGAGAAGATGGATTCTGGCTTAGCAATCATTGGAAGGACGTAATAAACCATTTCGGATCTTAACTGATTGTGTTCACGTTTACGGTGACTTTCAGACCGCGTTCCACTCACTGGCATGGTGCAGTGTGCAGAGTAATGTATGGTGTCGTAATTGTATAGTAAACATATAGCAGTGTGATACACATTAGGGTGGGTAGAATAATACATAGTGTTATATTAAAATGGATAAGGCAGCAACTGCAGCAGCAGCAAGTGCAGCAGCAGCAGCAAGTGCAGCAGCAGCAGCAACTGCAGCAGCAGCAGCAACTGCAGCAGCAGCAGAAACTGCAGCAGCAGCAGTAATTTCAGCAGCAGCAGTAACTGCAGCTCCCTTTGATGCTGTTAATCCTGCATAATGCACATGCATATGCAGGACTAATCACATTCCTGCATTTCCCATAAATATGCTAAATTCCTTTTGATATGTAAATTCCTTTGTCAATGCGCCCAGCTTATATATATGCTCCAAGCTCGTGTGCTGTTTCATTCAGACTCTGTCGCCTCGACGGACCTGGTTTTCACCTGAGGACGGCTGCTTGCGTTGTGGCCGAAACGTCGTGAGAATTGTTTTATTATGTTTTATTTTTATTATTTTATTACTTCCCTTCTACGTGACTTTACCGAAAGAACCAAGAAGATCTTCTGTTAAAATAAGTGTTTTCAGTGCACAGTAACGTAAGCAATACAGTAACAGTACAGTCTTACAGTAATGTAAATTTACATACTACTAACAAAAAAGTGCAATCTTACAACTGTAAAGTTGCATAAACTCCTGAATAAAACTAACTACGTAGCCTCTAACACTGGCCAATCATTCACCATCCTCATCCTCCATCCCCTCTCCCTCAGTGTCCATCTCCTCCCCCTCCACCATCTCCTCCCTCTCAAATGCTCCACTGCGGACTCGTTGGTTATGGTAAAGGAAGACCAAGGCTTTGAGGTTTTGGTTGGTAGTTGCTCTTCTTCGGTTAGACAACACTAGTTTGTAGATGCTGTTGCTGCGTTCAGCATCAGCTGAGTTTGAGACAGCATCTTTGTACCGCTTGGCCAAGGAACTCAGCACAGGAAGTCTCTCCTGTAGGCCATCCCAAAACACATCCAAATCCACCACGCCGAATGGTGCAGCTCTGAGTGATGCTGGACCAAGAGTCTTGAAGTAAGAATCAAATTCATCACCCTGCACTTCAGTGAAACCTGGAATGGCCTTGTAGCTTGCTACGGAGTCATCTAGGAATGCAATGTGGCGAGGGTCAAACACCCTAACCTCCTGGAGAAACTCAATGGCCGGCTGCCCATGTGACATGTACTTGGTGAGCTTTTCTTCAGCGTTTTCATATGCCTGACCAACTGTGCAGAGGATCTGTGTCTTTGTGGTGTAAGGTAAGTTAAACCCTTCAAAGTATTCGGCACACGCCTCATACTGCAGCTCTTTGTTGGCAGCAAAGACCACCTGCAGATCCTCCAGATAAGTGAAGATCTTTGTGGTCACAGGACGTCTGCTCTGGAAGATATCGAGAAGACTTAGGAAGCGTTTGCACTTGTCAGCCATGATGTTGATCTGGACATTCAGGGACTGAGCTAGGTCTTGGTCTTGAAGCATCTCGTGGAGTCTCTCCACAGACTGTGGAGCACTTCTGCTACACACCTATAAAAACACAAATAGAAAGAAAGGAATTAGGTCAAACATACAATATGTTCAATGCAATTCATTTTTTACTTTGATCTTACTAAACTATTCATGTTTGTATGTGCAAAGGGGGTTAACTGATGAAGAAAAGGAAGTGTTAATTGTATTGAGGAATTATGTGAAGGAAGTTTTTACCTCGATTTCCATCTCTATGAACTCCTTGTACAGTCCAAAGTGCTGTGCGTGGTACTGCACTGCAGAGAACCAGGAGTTCCAGCGTGTTGCACAGGGGTTTGGATGCATGACCGCCTTTTTTCTAGGCAGCTTGTTTGACAAGAAGCAGAGGTATCTTCTCTTGCGTGATCCAGCATTGAAGAACATCTGGGAGAAACTTAGCATGAAGCTGTTCAACTGAACAAAAGGTTTGCGGAAGGCATTGCCAATGAGATTCATTATGTGTGCCATGCATGTGATATGTATCGAGTTGGGGAACAACGACTGCAGAGCTGCTGTGAATGCCTTCTTCATGTAGGCTGCATTATCAGTGTCGAACACAATCACATCCTCGTTGTTAATGCTGTATTCTTGAAGGCACCTTACGACAGACATGGATACAGTGGAATGATTGCATTGCTCAAGGAAAACAGTATCTGCAAGGTAGGCCAAGATCCTCCCAGAATGATCCTTCTCAAGTGGTGCAAGGAGGATATTCAGGACACATCTCCCCTCGACATCTGGAGTCTCATCAAATATCACAGCAAGAGGTTTTCTGGCAAGAAGTGTCTTCAGCTCCTCTTTTTCCTTCTCATATACTGCTCCCAAGTACATATCTTGAAGCTGGTGAAACCCTGGAATGGCGCCGCCATTGATGACTTTCTCATTCAGAAATTTCCTCAGTGCAGGGTGGTCAGTCTTAGACAGTGGGATGTTGATGGCAGTGCAGGTGGCAACCCAGGTTTCACAAATCTACAAACAGAAAAATACTTTTGTATCATTGGGCTGTATTACACACACACACACACAAAGTCCAGTGTAACCTACAGAAAACTGCTGTATAAAACTGAATCATTTACAGTAAGCCTTTCCCAGAACAGTAGTGTTTCTGCAAATAAAACATAATTCTTTCATGCCAAAATCAATCATCTTGCATGGGAAATTACACTACTGTTAGTCTATCTAACCCTAACGTTAACTTACATCCACACACAACATACTTGGAAATCTCATTCACAGACACCTCTCTCTGTTTCAATTTAACTATCAGCCTTTTCATAATTTTACAAGCTTTAATCTAATAGGCTACTGACCTTGATTCTTTCAGCCCTAGCAACTGTTTTGGAAGTTGACGCCTCGGTGTAGGTGAGCTGCTTCATCTTGGCTGATTCCGCTGCTGCTTTAACCATCCTCGAATGTTTGTCGGTTGCAAAGTGACTGTCCAGCGTCGACTTCCGCCTGTGGTCCAACACGCAGTTGCACGGAGTGCAAAATAATTTGCCCCCACTGTCATGTAACACACTGGGAAACTGCTTTGCGCGGTCTTTTGCGCTTATGTTTGTTGGCAAATGAGAAAGATTTGCGGGCTTCATCATGGTTTCATTGGCATCGCGGGGTTTGCAGCTTTTCAATGATGTCGCGTAATGAGTGACGTCACTTCATAACGTTCCCATGGCAACAGGGGAAATGGCTGCGCTTGTGTGAAGTAAACGCAACATTTTTCAACTTTCTGCTAAGATATATGTGACTTTTTGCAACGAAAATGCGGGGATTATGAAATCATGCAAGCCCGCATATTTTGCGCGCGGAAATCTGCAATTTATGCGGCGAAAGTGCGGCGTATTTGAAAAAACGCGCCCCCCGCATAAATATGCGGACTTTGGCTGATTTTGCATGGAATCATGCGATCGCATAATCGCGTTTTTCTGGAGGGACTGATGTATGTTGAACTGTTTTCGCACCATATGTAGCAAACCCTGCTAATCGTAGCTGTGGAGGCAGGACAAGCTAAACACAAAAGTAAATGCATCCCACCTCCTCACGAGGAACCCACCTCCTCACCAGGATCCACCTCCTCAACAGAAACCCACATCCTCACCAGTAACCCACCTTCTCACCATTATCCCACCTCCTCACTATAGCAGATAACAATCGTTGATTAAATATGTCCTGCTAGGGCAGTTATTGCAGACGGACCGAGATCAAAATGATGAAATAAATAGGCGGGAGTGAGTGGAATGAAGGGCTTTTAGAAAGCTGAACAGTATGTTTAAACAATGCACGTGTTCTTTCCAATTATTTTAATAATATATTTAATTAACATCAATAAACGTGCAGTGTGCAAAGCATCTTACATGTGTTCATTATATTCGGCTTTGTTTAATATTCAACAAGAGTCATTAAGTATGTATGTTCCGTGTGCATAATATATCACAATGAACACAGCAAAGTACTTCAAGTGAAGAGAGAGGTCATTAAAACATTTTTTACATGAAAATAGACTCTTTTATATTTATTGTAACTATAATCAGAGATGTCACTTTCATGATTGTATAATGCATTGTATTACCATATTCTACAACTGCCTGAATAATTAACTTGAATTATTCTTACTCCTGGATGTTTCATTAAAATAAACAACACTGTATATTCCAACACCTACAAGTTGGCATTAAAGTCAAGCATCCGATGGTAAATTAAGTCAATTAGTCCATGATATGGTAATCAAGAAAGTTAAATACTGTATGGGATTCATCGTAATTCGCCCCGCTGGCAATTGGATGAGTTATCACGATTCAGGGGCCACGACTCCATGTAGCAACGGATTTTTTCCTCTATTTATTTCGCCCTCTCGTTTGCATTTTTGGCGCACGCTTGAAATCCAGCACGACGGAGGGGCAGTGGCAGGTAGGGATCACACAAATATCGTGAAACTCCCCTCCCGTTGTCGTCAAGGAGGCGCCGTACTCTGGCTCACCAGGAGACGGCGGTAGAGCAAACAATTTGGACTCCACCCATTATGTTTGTGTGGAATTGAGTGTTTCCCCCTTGCACGCGTGTATTTTACCCACGTGCTCCGGGTTCCTCTCACATGTAAGCACTCGTAAAAATTGGCCGATAACACCTTCATATTCAGAGGAACACAGAGCTTGGGCGACTGTCTACCTCATTGTGTGGCTGCCTTCCCGTCTTTTTTGGTTCTTCGCGCCTCTGAGTCGTTCTCTCTCTCTCTCCGAGAGAGAAAGCGACTCTCCGAGAGAGAGAGCGAATACTGTGTGCATTGCAAGTTTAAATAACATTTTTCTAGTGTCTTACGTTTTTTTGGAACAATGTTGTGCTCCTCATTAGTCTATACTCATTATGAGTGTATCACATGTTATTTTCATGAATCTGAAACAGAATTACAATTCAAGGAATGTTATGTGAGTTTTAAAAATCGACATTATAATTCCATACTTCACGACACCCTTATTATATACCGACCCGGACAACAACGGTAATAATCACTTTTCAGAGTTGCCTGCTTCAACAAACGCTGCTGGATAGCAATACTCTGTAGAGGCCCATAAACAATGTAATTTTTTTAATGTAGAGATACGAATGGAAGGCTGTTTGGTTATTCTGATTACAGAATAAATAAATGAGGGGTGGTTCAGAGGTCACAGTGCTGATCTGGCACCAACTGGGATCCTGGGTTAAAACTCCGGCAGCCATCTGTGATTAACCCAGGTTCTCAAGTGGAGCGAGTTGACAGTGTCAGCTTCATCACCAATGACTGCACGAAAGCCCCTCCGCCCCATCACATGAAACTTGTTTCTGCACTTCATTTTGTGAACAAATTCCGGCTTTGAGAATTGGAATACTGGTTAGACTGATGTGAGACGAGTATCACTCTCATTGGAAGAGTGCGTGGGGAAAGTGCTGCCCTCTAATGGGAAGACCAAGGGTCACTTGAAATGACACTTGACATCCGCTTCCGTGGGGCCGTTCTCCAACACGACGGATTACATTGCTTTTTGAGAGATATGAATGGATGCTTTGGCTCATCGCATGATGCCGATAGCAATCTCATGATAACATCGGGTAAAAAATAATAATAACAAAAACCCCAGAATAAATGAATACTCGAAGAGAGTGGATTCATCATAAATTAGGACATGGATGTCTATTTTCAGTTCTCTGCAACTGCATTGCTGTAGTGCTATGAACGTGCAATGGAGTTATACATGTGTAGTGAGTCATTCAGAGACACTATTTAGGAGGCAACAACATTTATTCTACACTTTATGCAACACCTTTACACACGGGACTAAATATACCTATTCTCACTCTTGTTACGCATAGGACCACAATGCACCTATTTCTCTTGCATACGGGATAACTATAATCAGGTCAAAGCAGCCACGTGCTGCCTGACCCACGATGTCGAAGACGGGGACGAAGACGTAGACGTAGCACTTGGGTTCCACTTCACCTGCAGACAGCCCGGATCTGTGCTCGGGGCTTCCCTTTAATCTCTCCCGGCGCGGCCTGGCTCCACCCTCGGCCGCGCCCTACGTCCAGAATATTCCCGGCGGTTGCAGGCTATACCGCACCTGTTCCCTCTCTGCCTCTTTCGGGCACTCTCTTGATATTCTCAGCTACTCCCCCCGTGCCCCCTCGTTCACCTTTGGCCCGCATTACTCACCCCGGCCCATCACGTGCTTAACCCGGTTCCGGTGTGACTTGTCCTCACATGGCCCCTACCTCCAGCCGCCCCCCACCACACTCTCCCAGTGGCGCACTCTGTGGTGATTCCCTGCGGCGCTGGTGGAGGCTGCAGTCCCCTACTCTGTCGGTAGGACTCACCAGGCTTCCTCCTGCTCGCACCCAGTACCATGCCCCTAGTGGCCCACTGAATGGTACTGCATCTACACCATTGGAACCTCCTTTGCCAGTAGCAAAATATGATAATAGTTTTTTTACTCGTACTGCATTGTGTGTTAGCTTCTGCGCCTGTTTGAACGGCACTTGGCGCCACGCACCGTAGTGGTCCATTTAACATCACCGCACATGTATACCTGTTCAAGATGTTTAACTTTGGGGGATTTCTTCATAAAACGTTAATTCCAAGATTCTGTCTGATCGTGGAAATAAAGTTTCGACTAAGTCAACCTATGGGAGTCATAGGGAAGGTGCATATATCAATTATGAATGATGTGCACATTCAGCCATTTTGTCAATCAACTTCGGGGCCGTCCATAAATGACGTCACGCGATTTTGGACGATTTTTGACCCCCCCCCCCCTCGTCACACGGCGTCACAAAAAGTCAGACCCCCCCTCAAATAGACGTCACAAAGATCTGCCCCCGCCCGCCCCCCAAAACCATATTTCCATTTTGAAAATAAAACATGTTTCAAATCGCTTTAAACTATTGTCATTGTAGTGTGTACTCTGATGTTGTACGAATGTTGTTATAACAATTAGTGTTGTTATAACAATTATCTTTTTATTTAAAGTTGCGCATTTTGATGTTACGTCACATTTCTCACCCCCCCCCCCCTCGTCAGAAAAATCTTACCCCCCCCCCTAGGTGCGTGACGTCATTTATGGACGGCCCCTTCTGGATGAGGACCTCCTCATGCCACTCAGGTTGTGGGAGTTTCTTTGACAATGCTTTACCACACTGGTCTGTGTGGAGGAGCATAGAGCATTGAAGTACAATACAACAATGGCTTTTGGCATAAAATCATCGACCCTGTATCACTGAAATTGGAACGCAGTCTGCTAACCACAGAGACACAACACCCCGCATGAAGGCACACTGACACTGCAATAAAACCATGATTAATTGCCTTCTCGTCAATCTACACCTCTGGCTCACTCGCCCAGTGACAGGACCTGCTGTGGCTACATGTTTATTGCTGATGAGCTAAACAGCCTTTCAAGTCCACAAGAAACCACCCAGGCAGCCTTCCGTATTGCCACATTAGAATTGTGTCATGTTTTTGATGGCAATGGTTATAAACCCTCATTGACAAAAGATTTTCCGGGCCAATGTTCATGTGAAGCATTGTCTTATTTATTGAAAAGAAAATCCTTATCTGACATTTTAAGTGCCGCTAAGGTATGTGTTTGTGCGTCATGCGACGTTCTGTGGAAACATAATTGGCAACGGGAAATAATCTACAGCCCAAAAATGTTCACAAGCACAGAGAGTCTGTTGTGCGTGGCTCACAGCTGGGTTTTCATCATTTGGCAATTTCATGCACTTGCCTGATATTTCTTACCAATTCTGAAGACACTTTGTTTCAACACAATTCAAAGTATGTTCAGAATGTCATAATACTAATACGGATGCCGTGTGTCGGGGATGCTGCTGCCGTTCTGTAACGGTCAGCACACTGTGGACTTGCACTCCAGAGGTTGCCGGATTGATTCGATTTCCTGGCATGGCAGTGGCAACAACATGGGCAAGTGTCCTTAAATCTCCCTACCCATGTCCACCCTGCAGCCACCACAGTTAGTCGATCAGCAGATTGTGTGTGATAGGGTAAAGGTTTGGGCACCCCCCACCTCTTCCAAAAGACAGTCTGGGCAGCGTGAAAGAGTAGGCCAAAACACCCTAGAGCTCCCACGAGTGGAGGCACATAAAGTGTTTGTGTTGCCAATATGCAAAATGTACCTGTGGAGGATATACCAGGAGTGTGGCTAACAGTGACATGAGCAAGACATTTTAGGGCTGCACCTTTCCCTTCAGATTTATCTATGTGTTTTATCCCTTAAACCCAATATTAAAAAAATTACTCTATAATTATGCAGGGGAAGTATTATCAATGCTGTAGACATCACAAATTTAAAATATATGGCCAACATAATTGTTATCAAGAACCGCCTCATAGTGACCAGAAGTATTGTTCTTTTAAAAGCA